AAGATGACTTTTGGAGAAGCTGACCAGATCAGATGGCCACCTGCAGCAGAGCCGAGTGGCTGGTCCCTGAGTCACCTCACCCTGAGGACTCTACTGTTAATGATGGTTTGGGACTAGTAACGCGACTGGGAGGGGGAGGTTAATCCTTCAGGTATGAACGGGCCGATGGATAGAAGAGCCAGGGGGTGGCCTACGATGCAGTGAATTATTTAATACGGCTCTTCTAGCCGTAGTCTTTGTGACTCACACACAGTGATTGAGTGGGACTATATAAACAAGGTGACTGGTCAGTTTCGCCAACCTGCTAGGCTTAAAATGAGCCATCCCAGAGGTGGGAAGAGAGGATCTCACTACCACCAAGAAAGAAGAGCCAGGAGTGGAGTGCATCCTTTGGACCCAGGATCCCTGCATTAAGAAGCTCCTGGAACTAGGAGACTGAGAAAGACAGAAAGAAAGAGAGAGACAGAGCTGTTACACAGAAGATGGCAAGAAGAGGCAGCAGAAGCAAGAGACCGGCAGGAGATGGCACAGGGGGCTTGCGGGTCCATGGAGCAAGAGGAGCGAGAAAGCTGAGTGCCTTCGGGCAGGAGGCGTGCTGGTGGAGTAGAGTGCCTCTGGGCACTTGGTGGAGCTAGGTTTGCCAATCCACAGAGTTAGAGCTAAGCACCTTTGGGCCAAGGCTTGCTGACAGAGTGGGGTGCCTCTGGGCACTTGTTGGCACAGCTAAAAGAGCTTTGTAACACTTGCCTGAGCAGGGCAGAGGCCAAGGGCCAGAGAGAGGCGTGTCTGAGGGCACAGCTGAGCAGAGGCTGTCCTGGTCGAAGAACTGTATCCTGAGCATTTCTGAACCTGAACTGTAACCTGTTACTTCCCTAACAGACCCCATAACTGTGAGTATAGTCTGTGAGTTCTGTGTGGCCACTGCAGCGAATTATCAAACCCAGCAGAGAAGTAGAGTGCCGTGGGAGGGATGGCTGGTATGAGAACTGGTAAAAAGGGCCGGCAAGAGGAGGCATGTCTGACCTCTGCCTCACAGGAATCAGCCCTGGGCTGCTGATCTTGATTCTCCTTCTCCACTGTGAAGTTAGAGGAGGGATGACGACGCCTCCGCCACAGCATTTTTACAGGGGCCATCTGAAAAAGGTGGGTAGGAACAGCGCCTACCTTGCAAGGGGGTTGTGCAGAGTGGGTGAGTTAGCACCGGGAGGGCTGCCCTGGGAGGAAGGCCAGCAGCTGCTAGTTCTGTGACCTGAGCCGGCAGGGAGCAGCTGGTAGGGAGCCACTGCCTGTGAGGGCAGGAACCTGCAGAGACGAAGACCCCAGGGCTGCCCAGCGGGCAGGGCTGCGACTAGAAGCTACTCTCGTGGAAAGGCTGGCACGGAGCAGAGCCCGTGGGTAAAGGGCCAATAGGAGGCTGAGGAAGAAAACACATGATGGATAATAGGCAGCCTTTCACAGGATGTTTAGAAATAGTTTTTCATAGCACGGGGATGTTTGTATCCTAGTGTTAAACGAAAAATGAAAAAGCAGGGCACAGCATTATGTATACACCATGTAACAGCAATTAAAACTCAATCCAGGAGAAAAACATAAAAAACTGAAAAAGTGAGAAAAAAAGGCATAAAACAACACATTAGTGATCAAGTAGATGTTAATGGATGAAACACACTATCAGACTGGGTTTTTAAAAAATCTAGCTATTGGCCATTTTCAAGAGCTACCTCTAAGCCAAAAGAAAGAATGAAAAGATGGAACTAAATGTCAGGGGGTGCAGCGCTATTATTATCGGCCCAAGACAAGGGAAGGAAAAGCATTATTAGTGATAAAGAGGGTCAGTCCATGAAGACAAGACGGTCAGCCCACCAGGAAGAATAATTTCTAAACTTATAAGCACCTGAAAACATGGCCTCAAAATAAATACTAAAACAGGGAAACTGACAAGGCCATCCTCACAGCAAATTTTATTTTATTTTTTTTTTATTATTGTACTTCAGGTGAAGGCTTACAGAACAAATAGTTTCTCATGAAACAGAAGTACACATGTTGTTTTACAACATTGGTTAACAACCCCACAACATATCATCCCTCTAACTTCTCAACCTCTTTTTTTTTTTTTTTGGTGAAAATATACATAGCCAAAGACACACCGTTTCAAAAATTTCTACCATGCACAGTTCAGTGACATTGACTACGCTCTTCGAGTTGTGCTGTTTTTCTCACTTAAGATGAAGGCTTACAGAACAAAATAGTTTCTCATTTA